CTAGCACATGTGCCTTATAGCAAACAAAAAAATACAAATAAAGAAGTGGGTTCTGTGACTATACATAGCATCACTATTCATAACAGGCAAAAGTTGAGAACAACACAAAATGTCTCTCAATACATGAACAAATGAACACTATGTGGTGTATCCATATAATGGAATATCATGCAGCCATAATAAAGCACAAACTTTTGACACATGCACAACATAAATGATCCTCGAAACATGCAGAAGGAAAGAAACTAGTCACAGAAGATCTCATATTATAGAATTCCATTTGTATGGAATGTCCGGAATAGGTGAGCCTAGAGAGACAAAAAGTAGAAGAGTAGTTCCTTGGGGCTTGGGGGCTGGGGGAGTATAGGTGAAGAGCACAGGATTTCTTTCTGGAATTAGATATTGGTGATCGTTGTACATACCTGTGACTATACTGCAAACTGTTGAATTGTGTCCTTTAAATGGATGAATTGTATATAGTATTTGGAGTGTATCTCAATAAAGTTGTTACTTCAAAATAAAAGGTGCTGTGATTTAGTGACTTCCTTTTCTGGTGTGTATTCAGGGGCCATTAGAGAATGTCTCTTGGTGTCATCACAGAATAGGTACAAATTATTATAGTCTCTAGACTGACTTTTTGCCAGGTCAAGAAGTAATGGGTAATATGAAGACCTGATTGACAGAAATAGAGTTTGGCACTTACCCTAGACAGTATCATTTTTCTCCTTATTTAGCTATTTTCTCCATGGCAGATTGTCTTATCGACTACAGTCCTCAGACATTATGGCACATGAAAAACTATAAATAATATAGTTGTGAGTTTAGTTTATTAATCTATCTCTATCCATTTACATCTTACATATTACTTAATAGTCAGCTAAAAATGGTTTGTTTTCGAGTGAAGCATAATTTTGAAACCTTTAAATGCCGGAATTAAATTGCTATAATCTTTTATTTATCTATTTCTGGCCATACCAAAAAGAGCCAAATAAATAAATAAATAAAGCTATAAAATTTGGATTTTTTTATACTAATTCTGTTACCTACAAATTATATTTTGAATTTTTTATTTCTTTTTTTTAGAAGTTTACTGTTTATATCCTAGGTTTTCATACATCGATAAAAGTAATTTGATTCCTAGCCCTCTGTGGTCCCATGTTAGGTTTTGGGAACTATTTTCAGTATTCAGAAAACCTGATACTAAGTTATTTCATAATTTTTTATGTATTTTCTTTGAGAAATGAACATTTATTTAGATGACTAGATAAAAGTCTTTCGATATTTGAGGAGCATGAGAGGAGAGGAATTTTGAAGAGGAGCAGTCAGTCTTTTGTTGCTTATCCTTGACCCTAGAAGACTTAGCTAGATCTTTTCCACCTCTCAAAATGATATCAATCCTGAAGGCTGTGGTATTAGAACCCTTTTTTTTTGGGTAGGGTAATGTCCTTTTCCAATGGAGAACTGGTCAATTTCATACTATTCTTTTCTCAACTGATTTACCCTTTCTCTTCATTCACAGTAGTTAGCTCTAACCAGTGCTTGTTACATACCAAACTAACAAATATCAGAATATATCTGTTGCTTTTAGTATTTTTCAAAATAGGTAAACCCTTTTTATTGGCTGTAATGTTTTAAATAACAAAATGTTTTTTCCTTTGTTTTCAAATATCATTTTTTTCCTGGCCTCTAACTTTTTGACTTAATTTATTATTTGGGGAACTCACAGCACTGTTTCTTTACTAAAAGGGGAGGGACAATGGGTAGTGAAGGAGGAAGAAAAGGGAGAAGAAAGGAAGAGGGGAGGGCGGAAGTAAGTCATATTTTATAAGTAGGAAAATTATAACAGAAACATTTCTTGGCTGTAAAATATTTTCTGGCTTAATCAATGCAAGACCAGTTAAATAATACTTAAGGGTCGGTCACCTGTAGTCTGCTGAGGCTGGAGTTGTGAGAAATGAAGAACTAAGATGGTGACTAGAGATAAAATGTGGAAAAATAATGCTTTTGTCACACACAGGTTTCAAACTTCATATTTGAAGTGTACAATTGCAAGTGGTAAGAATTCCAGATAAAAAGCAGTGTAAAAATTGCATGTAATGTAAGATGACCCTGAGCCTCTGTGATGTGTCCACATAAACTTACTCTATATTTCAGATTAACAATGAGTTCCATGAGTTGAGTCAACAAATGGTAACATTGCCAGACAAGTAAACCAAAAAAATCCTAAAATAGTGTTTTATAAATAATTATTCTTCAATAAATAATTATTCAACAATTGGAATCATTAAGAATAAGAATGCATTTACTCCAGAATGGGCAAATCCCTGCCTAATTGAAGGCATTCAGTGATATCAGCCTACTTCCTGGTAGCAGGCCAGTCCCTGTAATGAATCTCTGCTGCCTCGTGAGTGGCTTTATTATCAGGCCTGTAGTTGAGTAGCTGCATTATTGGGTGTATAGCTAGCTGCATGGCAGGTGCTAGAGGCTGTTTTGATTTGTTCCAGGAAAGACACCATATCCAGAATAGCAGCTGCTATCAGAGAAACCACCATGTTGAGTTTTCAGTAATCCATAGTCCACAAGATTCATCTAATGTCTGTACAGAGTAAAGAGATGAGTTAAATGGAGATGTGATAGATATCACCATTATGTGATGGCACTAACTAATCTCCACAGAGTCTTACCTTGATAAGGAGGCTTTCCAAGAACTTCCACTTGGCCCTTCCTACCATGTTTCTTGTTTCGGGGTCAGAGTTAGTGTGGAGATTCTATTAATACCAGTGACCCAGTATGTCTGTTCTAGTTATGCATTCTGAACTGAATAAGTAATTGCAGGGTAAGTCTGTGGACAATTGAATCTACTGTGAGTCAAATCTGGGCTTGTATTCTATCACCTTAACACCATAAATCTGCAGTTTGACAGGTGGACCACAGCGATGTTTGGACTCTGCAGAAGTTTGCATCAGTTCAGAGCCATGCTAGGCATAATTCTAAATGGTCTCTACGATCCCTTCCCCAGTTGTACACGTAATTTCTCTTAGCTACTCACCCATATTCATCTAGTTACTGCTATGAAGTATTGTGCAGATGTAACTGAGGTTCCAAATAAACTGCCTTCAGAAAGGGAGATTATCGCAGGTTAACTTTACTAATCACACAATCACTGAAGAGATTGAGTTGGACTAGCAAATGGGATGGTGGTTAGGGTGCTGGACCTCACTTGGCTAACTCTGTGGTTTGAGTCCTGGACTCAGCAGCTTGAAAAATGACACTGGGCATGTGTGTGTGCATGCCCAAAATCCCAAGATAAGAATGTGGAGGAGAAGGGATTGCAGTATGGCCAACTCCCCTGGGGTGTGCTTTCTCACTTTCATTCTCATTGTTTCTCTTTGTCTGTTCTGGTGAACTCATATGCCCTATAGCAAAAACCTAAAAAAATAAAAGAGAGAGAGAGAGACTGAACTAACTATTCCTGGGGAAAAAGATACAAAGCAGGAGAGGGACTCTGCATCAGCAGACTGGTTAAGTATGGTCTCCAGGAGTGAAAAGCAGACCCCCAAATGGATAGACCCACATAAGTGAATGAGATTTATTTGTGAAGAGGAATGGAAACCTGATTTTGGTTTTGACTACAAAGGACAGATAAGAAGAAATATTATAAAAGGTGTGAGTGATGAAAAGGTAGAGATGAATTTTGGAAGCTGTGCCTTAGAAGCAGTTTCTCTGAGAGAAGGCTATGGAGCATATGAAGAGCAGTGCTGGAGAAAACTAAAATGGCAGAGGTGAGGGGGAGATGCTGGTCTAGCCAGATACAAAGCAAGGAAAGGGAGGGCTAAAGAGCAAGTTGTAAATAATGCTTCATTGTTGTTATTATTTATTTATTATTATTATTATTTATTACGTGCTATGTCCCTTGGCATTTTCTATGCCTTATTTCATTTGCTGTTTCCAACTGCCTTATGGGGGAATTGGTATTTCCTCCATTTTGTCTCTGGAAGACTGAGATGAGTTAAAACAGACCTGACTACAAACATACAGCTAGTTAATCAGGAAGGATTGGAACCTGAATTTTTCTGGTTATAGAAAATTGTGGTTAATTGTGATGTTGGAGAAAAAGTTACAGAAGATTATTTTTGAACATATGAATAATAATTTGGCAATCTTTGTCTCTTCTTATAATATGTGTCATGGAGAAGAAATGAGATCTAGTGGGAAATATGTCAGATTAAAAATCTAAAGCCCAAATTCTAGTCATTTCTGCACTAGATTATAACTGAAAATGGCTTGTAAGCACTTTTTTTTAAATGAGATATATTGAATTGAAATATTCACATACCCTTTTTTTTTTTTTCTAATAAGGTTTTGCCTTAGAGCACATGTGTCAGCCAGAGACAGAGACGAGAGGGAAAGTGAGAAATCACCCCCAAGGAAGCATGGTCACAATGCAGTCCCTTCTCCTTCATTCTATTCCTGGGATTTTGGGCATGCTTACACGCATGTCTGGCATAAGTTTCAAGCTGCTGGGTCCAGGACGTAAACTGTGGTTGACCATATGGAAGCCCAAAATATTTTTACCTATCCAATTCTAAATAATTCATGTAGCTTTTTTTCTAGAAATTCTAAAGATGAGGACTAGCAGCAGGTGGCATAATGGTTACATCACTGGACTCCCACATGGTCTACCATGGTTCGAATCCTGTACCTGGCTGCCTCAGATTTACACAGGATGTGTGTGTATGCATGCCCAAGATCACAAGGAGAGAATGGAGGAGAAGGGATTGCAGTGTGGCTATACCCCCTGGGGGGGGGGTGGTTTCTCTCTTCTGTCTCTCTGTGTCTATCTCTCTGGCGAGTGCAAGTGCCCTATAGCAAAAATCTCTCATAGAAAAAAAAAGAAATTATAGAGAAACAAATTACAATAGTTAGCCAACGTTAAAAAGTCAATCAGAATTTATACTACTGTCTTATTTTACTTATCAGTTCTGTTTTATTTATTATAGAGAAGCTCGCAGAGGCCCAGCGCAGGTTTGCTACACTTCAAAATGAGCTTCAGTCATCACTGGATGCACAGAAAGAAAGCACTGGTGTTACTACGCTGCGACAACGCAGAAAGCCAGTCTTCCACCTGTCCCATGAAGAACGTGTCCAACATAGGAATATTAAAGACCTTAAACTGGCCTTCAGCGAGTTCTACCTCAGTCTTATCCTGCTGCAGAACTATCAGGTACCTAGATTCTTATTCCAGAGAATAGCGCCTATAAGTAAATGAGAAATTCTAATAAATAGAATTACCTTGAACTGTACTAATGGTCAGGCTAGAAATTCGTAATCGCTTTTTGATGTCTTATTGGCTAAAAACCACATATCAGGTGGTAGAACACTGTGAAGACTTGCACGATATTCAGAAACAGCTGTTGACTCAAAGACTAACAGTTTCCTTATTTTGAGAGGCAGCTCTAATCATAGTGAGTAGAAATTAGAAATCTATCTACCCAACCATCATTGGTTATGTAAGAATTTTACATTCTACCTACCTAATAGCAAAATTTCCACAAAAGCAATTGGACAGCTAACTTTCCTGCAGCCAACTAAAGATAAAAAACAAGAGAGTCTGACTTTACATTGATTACTGAAATATTCTAATTTTATTGTCCACAGACTGCAGTATAACTAAATGTTCTTTAAAAAGAAAGAAAAAGATCTTGACTAAGAAAAGAAATTAGGTCACAGCAAGTGTGGGTAGAGACTGAAAGTGAAAATGTAGGCTATTATATCACTTAGTATAGCAAAGCCCAATCTGAAAATGTTGAATTTACATGTATGCTAAATTATGGAAATAAAGGTCATTTATTCATTTTTAATTCTTCATAGTTTTTTTTACCTACCTAAATTCTTAAAAGAACTGAAATGTGAAAGATTATTTCAGTAGGTGAAAGAATCTCTCTAACCTTTAGACCATATGTACTATTTTCTATTTTATTCTTTGATTTTTACTTATAGTGAGTGCTTATGATCATCACAGAATGATATACCATATAAAAACTAAAGGTTACACAATAAGAGATACTAATTTGGGTAAGGATTAGAGTTTTAAAATAAAAACTATCTACAATAATCTAAGTTATTCATTCATGTAGCTATTTGTCTTCCCCTTTCATAATTTTACTTTTATTTTTTTTAGAATTATTTTTTCAATTATTTATTTATCATTATTCTTCAGTTTGACCAGAGAGAGAGAAGGAGAATGAGAAAGCAAGCTACCAGGTCCAGGACTCAAACCACTGTTGGTGGGAGTCCAGCACCTTAGCCACCATTGCTACCTGCCGGACACTTTGTTCTTTAGTGATTTCATATTTTATCATGGTGGTTAAGGTGGTCGAGTCCCACAAAGCTGACCGTGGTTTGAGTTCCAGACTCCAGACCCGGGAGCTTGAAAATCATGCTAGGTATGTGTACGTGTGTGCCCAAAATCCTGAGTGGAGAAGAGATCGTGGTGTGGCCATCCTCCCAGGCAGATGAGTCCTCACTTTCTCTCTCTCTCTTTCTCTCTCTCTCTCTCTTTCTTTCTCTCTCCCTATCTTTCTGTCTCTCTACAGTGAGCACATGTACTCTATGGCAAAAACTTTTAAAAATTTTTTAAAAAGGAAACGGAAATAGTTTAATGGAAAAGTAATTATGTAAGACATATATAATGATAAATTCCTTTGTTATAATGATAAATTCCTTTGTTTTAGAATTTATCCATAGCTTTATGATTTAATTTTAAAAAGAAACAAAACATATTTTCTCTTACCTGTAATACTATAAAAACACTAGCATTTCATAGTTCATTAACTGTGTTTGTGTGTTACAGGGAAATACCTTTGTTAAATTTTGTTCTATTAACTTTCTCAGCAACTTTTGTTTGGGGTCATTATAGAAATCTCTTTGGGAAAACAAATCATTGTTAATTATAAAGTTCTGCTCTATCTCCTACTCTTTAGGGCTGTCTCTTCTGTAAGAATGTATTTATTTTGAGAATGAGAGAGAAAGGAAAATTCATTAAAAGCTATTGCCAGATAATGTATGTACTCCAAGAAAAGTTTAATGTCATACTCAAAAGTGTGAGAAAAACAATTATAAACAAACAAGTAAATTTTTTATTGATGGGGGTATGTGACCAGCAAATTTGAGAGACCTCTATTTTATAGAACTAACTGCAAATCCATGGTTTTTGGGTTTTGCTTGTTTGCGTGTTAGACAAAGAAAAACAGAATTTGAGAGTGTAGAAAAATACTGTATTTTGGTATCATTGAAACTGAGGAAAAGTAGAGGCCCCACCCTTTATCAGTTGAAACCTATAAATATGACCACCTCTTTCTTTCTATCTCCTGGCTCTTTTTCACACTGTTTCCCAGCTGAAAATAACTGAAAGGAAAATGAAAGTTAAGAGGATTAGATGATGGTCTAGTTTCTTTGCTGATGCCTACACACTTGCTTGGTAGGGAGGAAATTCAGTTCACTTGTGCACCAGTCCTTCAAAAAGCATAAAAATAAATAGATGTGTTCAATGAATGATAAATGCAAAGCATTTTCTAAACATATTCCTTTGACCCAAGCATCAAAATAATAAAAATCAGCTATTTTGAGAACAGTTGCACATTAAAAAAATGGACATGAAACTTTTCAGTTGAGAACTTTTATGAAGTTTTGTGATGGGGTTGTAATAGCTCAGGGTTTCTTTGTGTTACTGATAACGTACTACCTTAAAACAAACAAATGATTAAGAAGAGTCTCATCCTTTAGTAGTAAATGCATTTATGAAAGCATTGCCATGTTCCTTGGTCTTTGTCCAGTCAGCTTTGCCTATGCTTAGTGCTTACTATTTTTTGCCTTCTTAGATGCTGGCAGAAATTATAGTTGTGTTTCTCATTTCTTTCTGTAGAATCTGAATTTTACAGGGTTTCGAAAAATCCTTAAAAAGCATGACAAGATCCTGGAAACATCTCGCGGAGCAGATTGGCGAGTGGCTCATGTAGAAGTGGCTCCATTTTACACGTGCAAGAAAATCAACCAGCTCATCTCTGAAACCGAGGTTTACTTATTTACCATATTTTCAATAGCATTCGTGTATTATTTTTATATAAATAATTCCCCATTTCTATTCTTTTCTAAATAGTTGATAGGTTTGAATATATAGTCTTGTGATATTTTTCTTCCACTTAACAGTGTATGTTCACCAAGAGATTATCAGTATTCTATATATGTAAATGATTCAGAATTATGTATGCATCACTCAGGTTTAATAAAACCTTTGATAAAATTTAATAACTTGTCTTTCTAGGCTGTAGTGACCAATGAACTTGAAGACGGTGATAGACAAAAGGCTATGAAACGTTTACGTGTTCCCCCTTTGGGAGCTGCTCAGGTTTGTATTTGTTTCCAGTGGTTTGTTTAGTTTTACCCATTTAATAATGAACACAATCTGCCTAGCTGGTTTCATTACCTTTAAGAATATGTAGCCAAAGATTATGAATAGTTCTTACTAATGTTATTTTATTTTAATAAGATTTTTTTGCCTTAGGTCATGTGCGTTTGCTGCAGAGACAGAGACAGAGAGGAAAAGTGAGTCGTGATGACGTAACCTCCTCAGGGGAATGGCCATACTGCATCCTTCTCCTCCATCCTCATCTCAGCATTTTGAGCACATGCTCAGTGTGATTTTAAAGCTGCCAGGTCTGGGACTCAAACCGTGTTCAACCATATGGGACTCCAGCACTTTAACACCACACTACCTACTGGCCGCTATGTTCGTTTTTAAAAAAAAACTAATGCCAGATTTCACTTCACTTTGAATTGTAATGTCATTCCATTTTTCTTATTCTTTAACCCCTCCTATTTATTATTGATATATTAACTTGTTGGTCTCATCAAATGATTAAGGTAAGTTTTCTTTTCTTTTTTTTAGTTGTTTTGAGAGACTCTTGCTCTAGGGCTTGTGCACTTGCTGGAGAGGCAGAGAGAGTCAGAAAGAGAGAAATCACCCCCCATGGAGGATGGCTGTGCCACAATCCCTTCTCCTCTATTCTCCTCTCAGGATTCTGGGCAAGCATGCACATGGCCCTGACATGAGTTTCAAGCTGCCAGGTTCATGACACCACAGTTGGCCACGTGGGAGTCCAGCACCTCAACAACTATGCCACCTACTGACTCCAAGAAGAGTTTTTTATGAATGATATTGGGGGTTTAGATATGTTACTCTTCTACATAGCTTTGTCTAAAATACAACAGTTATACCAAAAGAAAAAAAAATCCATTAAATATGTAGACAGTAGTTATGCCCTAAAAAGCATTTATTAAGTAATAACTACTGTGCCATAAAACACAAATCTCAATATATTTAAAAAGGATTCACATCATACAAAGTATGTTTTGTGACCACAATGGAATTGAAATCAATAACAGGAAGAACTTCTATAACCTCATAAAAGGCATTTATGAAAATCTACAGTTAATATTATACTTAGTGGTAAAATGCTGAAATATTTTCTCCCTAAACCTGGGGATGCAAAAAAGAACATACGCTCTTAACATTTCTATTCAACATCGTACTGGCGATTTTAGCTAGTGTGATAAGCTAAGAAAAAGAAAAAGACATCCAAATTAGAAAGGAAGAAATAAAACTGGTGGAGTTTTTTTCTGATGACATAATAATGTATGTTGAAAACCCAAAGCTCCTAAGAAATTGTGGGATTAGCAAGGTTGTGGAATACAAAATCAATAGACAGAAATCAGTTGTATTTTATATACCACCAAGAATAATTGGATATCAAAACATTTTTTTTGAAGGTTTTTTGCTATGGGGCGCGTTACACTCGCCAGAAAGACCGAGAGACAGAAAGCAAGAAATTGCCCCCCGGGGGGATGGTCACACCACAATCCCTTCTCATCCATTCTCTTCTCGGGATCTTGGGCACGCACACACATGCACCTGGTGTGAGTTTTAAGCCACCGGGTCCAGCTCTCGAACCACGGTCGACTACGTGGGAGTCCAGCAACATAGCCATTATGCTAACTGCTGGTCCCTCAAAACATTTTAAAATAATACTATAATGGGGCCATTTGATAGCATGGTGATTAAGGCATCTGGACCCCACATGTGGGGATCCAACTGTGTGGTTCGTGTCCCAGAAAAAACATTCTAGGTGCATGTGCATGTGTGTCCAAAATCCTAAGAGAAGAATGGAGGAGAAGGGACTGCAGTGTGGCCATCCCCTCTAAAAAGTGTTAAGAAGTGTTTTTTTCATTTTTTGCCTCTCTGTCTCTATCTCTTTCCAGTGACTACATGCACTCTATAGCAAACTTAATTTAAATCATATTTATAATACCATCAGAATATGAAACATTTGAGAATATATGCAAGACCTTTAAAATTCAAGACTACAAAGCACTGCTGAGAGAGATTAAAGACTTATGAGAGATATACCATGTTTATGGGTTATAATGGGCAAAACTAATCTATTATTATTATTATTATTATTATTATTATTTTACTAGAGGGCACATGCTCTAGCCAGAGAAAGACAGAAAGGGGAGGAAAAGAGAAAGCACTACCTATGGGAAATGGTCACACCATTGTCCTTCTCAAATCCCACATGGCAGGGTTCCAGATTCATGTCTGTGACCTCTCTGGTTATACCAGGCACACATGTGCCTATGATCTAGGGGTGAATCATGGTGTCTGGATCCTGTTGGAGGTTCATGTTTTTCTTCCCCATATTCCCTCCCACCCTGTGCACATATGTATTCCTAGAAATGAATAAACTCTTAAAAAAAATGACGTGCTGGTAGCAAATTAGCATGTGACAAGATGCTCAATATCATTAGGCAGTAGGGGAATTAAAATTACAATAAGATAATACACACCTGTTTCATGACTAAAATTTAAAAGTTTGATCATAGTAAATGTTAGAGTAATAAGAACTCTTATTTCATATGCTGCTGATGGAATATAAAATGATATAAGCATATTGGTAAAGTTTGGCAGTTTCTTAAAAAGTTAAACATAGGGAACCAGCAGTTAGCGTAATGGCTATGTTGCTGGACTCCCACGTAGTCGACCGCGGTTCGTGTCCTGGACCCGGTGGCTTAAAACTCACGCCGGGCGCGTGTGCGTGCGTGCCCAAGATCCCGAGAGGAGAATGGAGGAGAAAGGATTGTGGCGTGACCATCCCCCCTGGGGGCTGATTTCTCGCTTTCTGTCTCTATGTCTCTCTCTGTCTGTCTGGCGAGCGCACGCGCCCTACAGTGAAAATCTCTTCAAAAAAAAGTTAAACATAAACTTACCATAGTTATACTCTTAGGTATTTTCCAAGTCAAATACCGATCAATGTATGTCCATATAAAGATTTGTACAGGGGCCAGTAGGTGGCAGGGTGGTTGGGGCACTGGACTCCCACGTGGCCAACAACAGTTTGAATCCTGGTGGCTTGCTTTCTCACTTTATATCTCTCTCTCTCACTCTGTGTCTGTCTCTCTATGGTGAGTGCATGTGCCCTATAGAAAATGTTTAAAAATAATAATAAATAAAATGAAGTAAATAATTTTTCAAATAAAAGTATCCACAGAGAAGGATTGCATATAAATTGTTTATTTTAGGGACAAGTAGTTGGTGTAATGGCTATGACGCTGAACTCCCATGTAGTCGACCATGGTTCAAGTCCCGGACCCAGTGGCTTAAACTGATGCCGGGTGTGTGTGCATGTGTGCCCAAGATCCCAAGAGGAGAATGGAGGAGAAGGGATTGTGGCGTGGCCATCCCCCCTGGGGGGTGATTTATTGCTTTCTGTCTCTCTATCTCGCTCTGTCTGTCCGGCAAGCACATGCGCCCTATAGCAAAAAAAACCTCTCCAAAAAGAAAAAAAATAGATGATGAGTATAGGTTTATTTTACTGTTCACGTCAAACAGACAAATGCATTTTATACGTTTTTATATGTAAATTATACAGTTTTTAAAACTAAAAATAGCAGTTTCCAAAAATTAAAGATTAGACAAAAGACAGATTAAACAAAAGGTAAAAAGATAAAAGATAAAACAAAAGACAGATTACCATTTCCTTATGAATACTTTCAGTCCAAAACTAACAATATAGATGCATTTCTTGCTGGTAAGTAAAAAGGAAATCATTCTCAATGTTTTTTTATGGCTTGAGGTTTTTAGAAAATACTTAAAATACCTGAGGCATACATAATATTGCCTCTAACTATATGATATTACCTCTAACAATCAAATGTTTTACAACCTTGATAGCAAATTTCTTTTCAGAGAGGTTTTTGCTAATAGGGTGTGTGCACTCACCAGAAAGACAGAGAAAGACAGAGAGACAGAAAGCAAGAAATCATCCCCCAGGGCAGATGGCCACGCTGCAATCCCTTCTCTATTCTCCCCTCGGGATCTTGGGCACACACGCGCACACGCCCTGTGTAAGTATAAGCCACTGGGTCCAGGACTCGAACCGCCGTCAACCACATGGGAGTCCAGTGACATAGCCATTATGCCAACTGCTTGTCTGATAGCAAAATTTTAAATATATAATAATATCTCTCTTAAAGGTGTTTCTCATTCTTTTAAAATCTCAGGCCTTATTATTTATTCTAGGAAACTAGTAGTTTTAAAAGTCAATTTTATATTGTTGTTTATTATTGTATATTATTTATATACAATTTTATATTGTAAATATAAAATTAAATATGTTTTGAACCTACACGCTCTGGAGATTCAGGTATACCAGTCTTTTGAGACTCTCTAGTATATTTTGGAAAATTCACTTCAGACTATTTTTGTGTAATAGTGTAAATACTATCAGAAAATGTGTGTTCTTATTTTTACCATTGTTTCTAATTATTCATAGTACCAAGTATATAAACTTTACATGAATAATAGTGACTTTAAAAATTGGATATGTATATACATTATAAAAATGTAAATGAATGTAACATAAATCTCTCCTATAAAAAACAAAACTGCAGTGGCCAGTTGCTGTGGTGAAGTGGTAAAATGGCACTCTAGGATGATGAGGCCATGTGGGAAGGTCCCAGAACCCAGTTTTACTGTGCGTGCTGTGCATGGGCGGATGTGCCTATGATCCAGGCTGACTGCAGCTTAGTAAAGGATCATGGCATGTAGACCCTGTTGCCTGTCTCTAACTCTCTGTCTAATGAAAAAATGAAACTTACAAGTAATCTTCAGTGTTGAGGCCAGCAGTTGGAGTAATGGCTATGTCACTGGACTCCCACATAGTCAACCACGGTTCGAGTCCTGGACCCGGTGGCTTAAACTCACGCCGGGCACATGTGCGTGCATGCCCAAGATCCCGAGAGGAGAATGGAGGAGAAGGGATTGCGGCGTGGCCATCCCCCCTGGGGGGTGATTTCTCTCTTTCTGTCTGTCTCTCTCTGTCTCTCCCCCCCCCCCCAAAAAAAAAGAAGAAAAAAAAGTAATCTTCAGTGTATGTTTAATTTGATGCCTGAAATCTTGTTTTTTGTTTATGTATTTATTTTATTTATTATTATTATTATTTTAGAGAGATTTTTGCGATAAGGTACATGGGCTTGCCAGATAGAAAGCTAGAAATCACCCACCAAAGGGGATGTCCACACCACAATCCCTGCTTCTTCTCCATTCTCTTCCTGAGATTTTGGGCATGTACACATGCGCACCCAGTGCGAGTTTCAAGTTGCCATGTTCGTGACTCAAACTGCAGTCAGCCATGTGGAAGTCCAGTTCCTTAACCACTGTGCCACCTGCTGACCCTCAAATCTTGTTTATTTTGTGACTCAGATTTCTATAAAAGAATTTAATTATACAGCAAATAATTCTCTTCTAGTCCTTCAGGGTTGATCAGAATGATTCTCTGTTTCAGATTTTTAAAAGTTCAGATAATTTATTTTTCTGGTAGAACCTTCCTTCCCCCCCAATATCGTGTACATGTGCATGAGAGAGGGAGAGAGAGAAGCACCCTTGACAGCATCTTTTCACACTGCAATCCCCTTTCCCCTGCCCTCCTGCTCCTCAGAAACCTCAGTGCCCCTGTGGATGTCTTGCATGTTTTTCAGGCCAGCCCAGGGATCTGAACCCATGGTTGCCATATGGCTTCTAACTTTGAAGGGCACTTGCATTACCATTGTACCACAGCAGCTGGGCCAAATGGGAGAAATTTGACATTCATGTTACTAATTTATGCAGCATATACTAAATTCATTTATTGTTTGTACTATACTCAAAATGCTGTTTCTGTGTCTACAGCCTGCACCAGCATGGACTACTTTCAGAGTTGGCCTGTTTTGTGGAATATTCATTGTATTGAATATTACCCTTGTGCTTGCCGGTAAGTCATTTAATTTTTTTAATTAATTTTTTTTTTATTAATAAGCTCATGTCATATTCTGTTCTTCTGTAAGGAGTCAAACATGTATGTACCAAAGCTAAACACCAGGGCTAATTTCTGTTCTTAGAAATGACGTGGGTTTTTTTTTGTTGGTGGTGGTTTTATTTTTCTCTATGTAGTATATGATTTATTCTTCATCATTTTCTGGTTTTTATGTACTATTTCAGACTTATTCAAAGTTGTTATCAAGAACCTCGGCTCCCTGGGACCAGCAGTTAGCGTAATGGCTATGTCGCTGGATTCCCACGTAGTCGATTGTGGTTCGAGTACCGGACCCAGTGGCTTAAACTCACGCCAGGCGTGTGTGCGTGCATGCGTGCCCAAGATCCTGAGAGGAGAATGGAGGAGAAGGGATTGTGGTGTGGCCATCCCCCCTGGGGAGTGATTTCTCGCTTTCGGTCTCTGTCTGGCGAGCGCATGTGCCCTATAGCAAAAAAACCTCTCCAAAAAACGAAAAGAAAAAAAGAACCTCGGCTCCCTGGGACCAGCAGTTAGCGTAATGGCTATGTCGCTGGATTCCCACGTAGTCGATTGTGGTTCGAGTACCGGACCCAGTGGCTTAAACTCACGCCAGGCGTGTGTGCGTGCATGCGTGCCCAAGATCCTGAGAGGAGAATGGAGGAGAAGGGATTGTGGTGTGGCCATCCCCCCTGGGGAGTGATTTCTCGCTTTCGGTCTCTGTCTGGCGAGCGCATGTGCCCTATAGCAAAAAAACCTCTCCAAAAAAAGAAAAGAAAAAAAGAACCTCGGCTCCCTTTATCATAGATGAAGATAAATAATACAAAATTAATTCACTAAAACTCATTCACTTTGCTTATTGGAGACTCTCACATCCTTTCCAAAACCTGTTTACAATTACTTTGCTTCTAGTTTTAGAAAGCATAGTAGTATAATTTCTTACGCTACAGAAATTAAAATTAGAAAGAGCTAGGAAGGACCACTGGGAGCAGTTGTAGCCCTAACATCAGAAAATGGTACAATACAGCCAGCTTGTGGTGGGATGGTTAGAGTGGCTGGATCTCACATGGCCAACTGTGCTGAGTCCCAGACCCAGCAGCTTAAAAAATCATGGCCAGGTTGCATGTGCATGTGTGTCCAAAATCCTGGGAAGAGAAATGGAGCAGAAAAGATTGCAGTTTGGCCACCTCTCATTTCTCACTTTCCCTCTTTTTCTGTTTGGCTATAGCAAGTACATGTACCTTCTAGCATATTAAAAAGAAAAGAAAATGATACAATAGTAACGGAGGCAGGAGGCATTGTGTTAACTTCCCCAAAGGATTTGATGTTTCTTTCCATAGCTTTTGACATTGTTGATTACTTTTTTTTTTAATTGCCAGAAGGCATAAATGTGCTAGCCAGAGAGATTGAGAGAAGGGTAAAGCATTCCCTAGTTGGACTGGTCACTATACAATCCGTTCTCCTCCAGTTCTCCCTTCTGTTGGGATTTGGGACACAGACGTGTACCCAGCATCTTTTTCAAGCCACTAGGGCTAGGATTTTAACTGGTTGGCCATGAAGGACTTGACTGTCTTAACCATTGTGACCAGCCTGATCGCTATGTCCTTTTCTTTCTTTTTAAAAATTTGCCAGAAACCGTGTGTACTTTCAGGAGAGAAAGAGAGAGTGAAAGTGAGAAACCCTTTCCCTCCGTGCCACCATCCCTTCTCCTCTATTACTCCCTTCTTTGAGATTTTGGGCATGCATACACATGTACTCAGCTCGTTTTCAAGCCACTGGTTCCAGGACATGAACCACACAGCTCACCATGTGGGATACAGGTGCTTTGACCACCATGCCATTGGCCGGTTCATCACAACTACTTGAAACACTTTCTCCCTTTATTTTTTGTTTAGGAAACCCATATTCTGTAGGTTTTCCTGTTCAGTTTCTCTGGCAGTCCTTTCTTAGTCTTCTTGCTAGCTATACTTTACTGCATGGCTTTGGAATATTGACGAGTACCAGTAGTCCTTTCCTCTCCTGTATCTTCATTCCTTTCCTGGCTAGGCAATCTTATTTGAGCCTATGGCTATAAAGACTCCCAATAAAGACTCCCAATACTCCCAAGTACATGTCCTCTCTCTCCTCTGAATAATACCTGATTGGGTACTTGAATGTCTAATGAGCTTTTTAAACTTAGGCAAAAGAACCCTTGATTTTTTCCTCCAACAAGACATTTGCTTTCATTTGGCATCACTTTTCATCCATTTTCTCAATCCAAAAACTTTTAGCCTCTCTTTATCCTCATACTTCACCAGCCCATCCTGTTGCTCTGTCTTAAGAATATGTTCTAACTCTTATTTCTCACCTCCTCCACCAGTGCCATCCTTGTCTGAGCTTTTTATTTAGTGTAACAGCCTTCTGAACTTGTCTCCTTGTATCTATTCTGGTCTTGTTAAAGCCACAATGTTTATTTGTTATGTAAGCCAGATTCTGCTACTCTTCTTTAAAACTTATTTGTGACTTTTCTTAAAATTAAATTCAAATTCTTGAGCCAGCTCATTGGCGCAGTGATAATGTCCTGCTCAAGTGATGCTAAATCCATGTGGAAGATCACAGGTTCAGTTCTTCAATTGATCTGTACATGCCAAGTGCATGAGCCTAGGATCTTGGCTGACTGGGAAGGCTGGGGGGTTTGATTGCAGCATGAGGCCCCGTTGAAGGTGCTTCTCTGTCTCTCCCTCATAAAAGAAAGAGAAACTTCAGGGGAGCTGGATTGGGTAATGTGTACCTGTAATCCCAGCTACAATACTTTGGAGGATGAGCCAAAGAGAGCAAGACTCTCTCTCAAAAAATAATAAATAAGATTAAAATATAATAATTCAAAATCCTTATTATGGCCTATATGACCCTGCAAGATCTTGCTTCTTTGGGCCTTCTGGCATTGCATCCTGTCATTGCTTCCCCCCACCCCCATTCAGTTTCATTCTGTTTCTAACCCTAACTTGCATGGTTACTATCCTTTGAACACACCAAGCTTATTCTTATCTAAGAGCCGTTGCAGTTTCCTACTAGGCTTCTCCCCAAAATGTCTGCTTGACTTATTCCTTCACTTCATATAGGTCTCTAGCAAAATACTGCTTCCTCAATAAATCCTTCCCTGGGAGCCAGCAGTTGGCGTGGGGGTTGGGGTGCTGGACTGCGGTTCAAGTCCCAAACCTGATGGCTTACTTTCTCACTTTCTCTTTCTCTCTGTCCCTCTCTGGTCAAATTAAAATTAAATAAATTCATAAATAAATAAAGTTAAATAAAACAGTTCTTTAAAATAATAAATCCTTCCCTGATCACCTTAGTATAGTGTATTCTTTCCCTTTAGTCTACGTTTGTTTTGTTTTTTTGGAGAGGTTTTTGCTAGAGGGCGCATGCGCTCCCCAGACAGAGACAGAAAACGAGAAATCACCTCCCAGAGAGGATGGCCACGCCACAATCCCTTCTCCTCCATTCTCCTCTCAGGATCTTGGGCACGCATGCACATGCACCCGGAGTGAGTTTTAAGCCACCGGGTCTGGGACACAAACCGTGGTCAACTACATGGGAGTCCAGTGACATAGCCATTACACTAACTGCTGGTCTCGTCTACATTTGGTTTTTTAAGCATGCTTGTAATTACATATCATTATATTATATGTTTCTTGTTCTTTGCTTTCTCACTGGAAAAAGTATTCTTGATACCTGGTCTTTTGTCTTCCCTGTTCACCACTGTGTCTCGGCACCTTGAATACAGCCTGAAATATAGTATGTACTCAAAAAATATCAGGAAAGTTTGAATGGGTGGAAAAGAAGGAGAGAACTGAAATTAGATGATATAGAGAACATACACACAGAGAGAGAACCAAAACACACACACACACACACTCAATTTCAAAGGTTTTTGTAATCAAGGACTGTGTGTATGTGTGTGAGTTTGAATTGCCAGAGGGTGTGTGCAGTCACTAGACAGAGCATGAGAGTGAGCCAATGAGCAGCCCTTCAGTGGGATGTGGTCACACCACAATCCTTTTTTCCTCTCTTTCTCCATCCTGTGAAGGTTTTTGGGATGCACACACATGCCTTTGGAATGTTTTTCAAGTTGCCAGACTGGGGTTTGAATTGCATTTGGCCATGTGGGATCTGGCTGTTCATATACAGTACTTAAGCACTGTGCCAGAGGGATGGCCCAGTGGAAGACTTTGCATTTAAGGGCACGTACTCTTGGTATTCCTCAAGAATTTGTGTAGTTAGGCTTATAACTGGATAATTAATAAAAGATCAAATTCTGCTTAGTGAAGTCTTTAAAGAAATACGATTGTAAGATACATGTTATTATATCCATTTTAGACTTTTAGTAATCATAATAAATCATCATAATGCCTGAACAAGAAAGGTTTATATCACTATCATACTTACTATTCTCGATTGTAGAGATACTGTATTTTTCATTTTGGTATTTCAATTCCTAACACAGGACTAAACATGTAGCAGATATAGGAGAAATATTTTACTGTATTATTCCTCATTATGAAATTATAACCTGGGGCTGGCAGGTGGTAAGGTGGTTAAAGTACTGGACTCCCACATAGCTGACCACAGTTTCAAATCCCAGACCTGGTGGCTTGCTTTCTGACCTTCCCTCCCTCTCTCTCTCTCTATCTCTGATCAAATTTAAAAAATAAATAATAATATCAAGTAAAAGAAAATAAGCAAATCTTTTTTAAAAAAGAAATTATAACCCACATTATAATGCCTTTTAGAGGGGGTCATACATTTTACCTATTAACTGAATTTTCACTTGTATTGTTAGAGTTCTCCTTCCCAACAGTTACTAAAAATCAACTCTAATAATTACTGTCTAGCCTAAGCTCGTGACTTAATATTAGTAGAATTTTTAATTATATTTTAATCAAGTTCTGTTTTGTTTTGTTTTTTAAATTATTATTTTATTTACATTGATTTATCCATTCTAA